TTCAGGGAGTCTATCCTAACTTCCATCCCTCTCCCCCTAAGACCTATCCTAATCCCCCTCCTACCCCCCCTCCCCCCCAGGACCTATCCTAGACTTCCCCCCTACCCCTCCCCTCCCCTCCTACCTATCCTAACAACCTACCACCTCCCCTCCCTTACTCTCACCTCTCCTAACCTTCTGCCCCTCCTCCCTCACCCCCCTACCACCCCTACCTACCCTCTAACAAGCTCCTACTTCCCCTCTCCCCTCCCTCGCACCTATCCTATAGCCTCCCTCCCCCTCGCCTCTTCCTCCCAGCACCTATCCTAACTTCCCTCTCCTCCCACCCCTTCCCTCCTCCGCCCGCCCCTTACCTCCTCCCAGTCAGGGTGCGTTGTTCCGACCCTGTCACAGTCGGCAGTGAGCGACCGAGCGGGGCCTGGCGAGCAGTTTTACGCTTACAACTCCCCACCGCACTCTTTTTGCTCATCTATTTCGGTCTCGATCGATTATGATTAAGTATATTTATACAATAGTTGAGGCACCGTGACTGCTGACAAGCTCTTCCTCCGCTAATGAAACTCGTCAACTGACCATATTTATCGTGATGGATAGGGTGGGTAGGGTGGGGGGGAGGCGGTAAATTATTCGAGATATTTAAAACAAAAATAATCCTATTAATAAAGATAACACCAATCATCGTGTGAGGGTGGGTGGCAACGGACCGCGCGGGATGCCAGATGTTCGTCACTTGAGAGTTTATCAGCTCTTTCAAGAATGTATCGCAGCTCTCATGTTATGGCCTCTGTGAGTGCGCAGCGGCGATGTTCTTCAGCGTAAGAGCAGTAGCTAGCTCAAATATGCCATATCAGAGCAGACTACGTGTGTTTCCACGAGTGAAAGAGCAGAGGAAGTGAAAATAATTATAAAAGGAGCGCATATGCCGGCGCACCCCGCACTCGGAGATGCCATTTGTTCCTTGCCGCGAAACGCTCACCTCAAACACTATCAATTTTCTCTTCTTCCTCGCAGTTTACCGTCTGTAGCTTTTCACGTAACGAATCAATAATCCTCTAGGAATTTTGTTAATTGAGATATCGCCGGAATAAAAAATATATAATTACAGCACTTAGGGTAATAGATTGGCGAGTGGAGGGGCCAAGTAGAGACCGTCATTGGGACTTGCGGGAGGTAGTCCAGCCAGCCAGCCACCGAGCCAGCCAGCCAGCCAGCCAACCTACCAACCAGCCCAGCCAGCCAGCCACCCGTACGTCGCTCGCTGCCGCCAGTTACCTCTGTTGACCGACTGGGAGGAGACGTGCTGTCGGTGTGCCGCCGCGCTCACCCCTACCTCAGTGAACCACGAGCCAAACGTGCTATCGTGGTGTTCCCCGAGAGCCTGTGTCAGGATATTGCCCTACAGGTGTCTCGCGATGGCAGTGCTCTTGTTCTGAGTGTAGACAATGCTGACAGGAGAATTGATACAGTGGGATATACAAAATACTAGCTGGAAAGTGTGCAGGAGGTGAGCTCCATTGTGCAGTGAAGCATAAGCTAGTAACAGTGTTTTCTAAACAAAACGCAAGTGTTTACATGTGACACGGAGTGGTTTACTTTAACTTACACGAGAGACGTTACCTGAGAGGATATATCCAATAATCAACAGTGCTTAATAAAGAAGAGATTATGGAAGTGATTAATCAGTTATTTGTTCTGAAGCGTGATTACTAATTGATTAAATTAACATTGGTGAAATCACTGGATGTAGTGGATAGCCAATGCACACAAACAATCAACAGTTGATAGTGCCGTACTCAAGTGTGAAGTGTACGAGTGACTACAGTCGAGCAAGTGTTGGCTGTAAAACCTTGTGAATATTTGGTGAAAAGTGAGACCGTCTTATCTATGGAATGACATATGGACTTACCCTACGCTAAGAGAAACCGTGCAGATATATTAGGATCTTCAGTCCACATGTCAAGGCGAGTGTTTGTGGTGTTCTGACAACACAGGGTTTGGTTGTACAATCAACCATTCCATCCAACAATTGAAAAGAGGGCGCCTGGCGAGGGTGACCTCAGCTGACCCCTCAGGACTGGTGACGGCAAGTTTCCCCTCTGATGGTGAACGCCCGGAGGCACTGACCACACCAGGATCTAAGCGCTTTGGGAACTGAGATATTTACGTGTGCCTGGAAGGATATATTTACATTGATTTATAGATAAACACCAAAGTGCTTACTCTTTTGTGCATTAAGTGATATGGATTGTAGAGGATTAAGCAGACGGTGACGTATAGTGAGTGAGCAGTGCCGTGTCAACTGAAGCACGTGTTGGCCAAGCAACACTGCACGGACGAACCCCCTCGAACCAGACGTGAGCCGGGCTTGAGGTTGATCTCGTAAGGAGTGTATGACCTTGTGGCCTCGCGTGACCTCACCCTCCTGATGGTGAAGCACGCAGGCCGCGTAAAGTGCCTGGCCCGTGCTGGCCATGGACATGTTTAGCCTTCAGCTGGAGAGGTCAGTACACGCACCATGTGATGTTATAGTGTAGTGAGTGATGCCTGCGCCGTTTCGCTTTACTGTGTGCGGTGCAGTTTAACCTTAAGATAGAAATGCTCAGTATATCGTTTAAGAATGTAGAATATGTGCATGTGCAGGATGGAAAGAATCACGTGACAGGTGTTGTTGCATTACTGTTGTGTTGCGAGGTATACCCTAGAGATGGTGTTCTAGATCGAATCACGGACGACTTTTGTTCGAGTGTGATCTCGGGAAATGGTGTAGACCGCCTCGCTGCTGTAGAGAACGGCATTTTCGCCAGGGGAACGAACGGATTAGATCGAGCACATTGTCACGTCCTCATGGCCTCACGTCGGAAGAATGGGAGTAGCTGCTAGCGGGATTTTGCAGCAACTCTCTTGCGTGTGCAATGATTGGTGACGAGCGCGTGGGAAAAGTCCGCGGAACACCCAGATCGAGTGAGATCGGTTTCAGCAAAGATTGATTCTGCTCGACTCGCGCTAATTGCTAAAGAGAAAACAGCACAGCCCTTCCATCTCTGCTGTAACCCTCCGCACATGCCGTTTCTTTGTTTGTTGTTGCTTACGTTGACGAGGGAAGAATTCGCGTCTCTGAAGGGTACACACTTCATTTTGCTCGGAATAAAGAGCTAGGATAACCGCCCGTAACTAAATGTACAGCATGGGACGTAGCATTTTCTGAACACGTGATCTTGTGTGATAATATTTAAAGTACAGTTAGACATGTTTCAAGAGGGATTTCGAATGCATCTTCAAACGTACTCGACGTGCACCTTTAAGACCAGACGAGAGAAGAAAAGAAAACTCAACAAGACGGTGATGACTGTCTAAAAATAATAACGTACCATAGTCATCATTTCTCTCTCTCTCTCTCCCTGTTAAATGGTTCCCTTCACCGTCGCGCAGAAACCCTTTGTTACCAAGAATTAGGATTGTTAATTCACCCTAAATGGCGTGGCGGTTGTGACTAACTGAACATGAGGCCGACCACGCTATCCTCGTGCCACCAGTTGTCCCAGAGCTGATCTCTCCCTCCTTCCCTCCCTCCCTCCTTTCCTCCCTCCTGTCCTCCAACCCTCCCACCTCCCTCCTACCTTCCATCCCTCCGGCAGTGAAAGAATCGGGAAATACAATCAATAGAAGGGGGAGGGAAGGGGGAGGAGGGTTATACACGAATTTAACGGTGATTATTTACTGTCGTTAGGCTTTATTTCAGTTCGATGTTCAGCTCTGCAATGTCTGATTTTTCCTCTCCTCTTCGCGAAACAGACATGAACCAAAACCAATGAACACGACGACGACAGAAACACATACGTATGAGAGAAAAGTCGAAAAAAAAATCCTTTGTACCCATATTGATAGCTTCTGTAGCTTCATAAATAATATCACGCGTCGGCAGCGGCTAAGCAGCAGTGTTACCAAACCAACGACAAATTTACCAAAATGATCGAAAACGCGCGACGATACAAAAGAACAATCAGCGTTACGCTCGGAAACGCCCCGCTTATGTTGGCAATACAATGCGATCGTGAAAGCCAAGAGGGTACGATATGTTTTCCGCAACTGGAACCGAGGAGCCATGACGGCGCGGGACAAGTAATTGTTTAATTTATATCTCCTCTTAAATATACTTTGGACTTGAGTTTACTTTAGCGGTTGAGATGATTTCTCTTTAATAATTTTTTTGTGTGTTATTTTAAATGCGTCTTGGAATAAATGAAGTCGGCGAGAGAGGGCACGAGAGAGAGCTAGGGTGTTTATCATAGCATGAAAGATTCCTCAAAATCAAACGAAATGTTTTTGCGGTCGAGTTGTGAGTTAGTGCTTTGTGTGCGGGCCGCGGTAGGGACATTTAAAGGCTCATAGGATAGAGTGGGGAGGTTGGCCATGGGGGGGGAGAGGGGTTAGGGGAAGAGGAGGAGCGGTGGGAGAAGAGAAGGAGGAGGAGGAGGAGGAGGAGACTTGTTAGGGCCAAGCGAGAGGTCACACAAAATCCTCCTGGCTCACGTGCATTCCAACGCTTCGTACCTTAGGCCTATTGTCGGAGAAGGATGTTTCACTCACAGTGTATCAGTGTGACACACACACACACACACACACACACACACACACACACACACACACACACACACACACACACACACACACACACACACACACACACACACACGCACACTAAACAAACATTCCCCATACATAGACGTGTGCAGACCGTCATAATTTCTCTTCATTTCTCTCCCTTGTTACATCAATAGAGACAGTCGCATTCCCAGACAAGCCTTAAGTCGCTCGGCCAATTATCCTTAGACCTTGAAACACGACACCTGCAAATTAATTGTGGCAAATTCCCTCCGAACTTTTCCCACGACGAAATAAAACCTATCGTATGTCTCCAGAAACCGTTTTCGAACATTTGAGTTGGGACATACATGAGAAAGAGAAAGGAGGGAGAGAGAGAGAGAGAGAGAGAGAGAGAGAGAGAGAGAGAGAGAGAGAGAGAGAGAGAGAGAGAGAGAGAGAGAGAGAGAGAGAGAGAGAGAAAGAGGGATTGAGGGGGAGAGGAGTGGAGAAGAGAGTGGGGGCAGTCATGAATTACGGTCAAGTAACTGTTATCAGGGATATCAGATAGTGACCTCCCCCTCCCTCTCTCTTCTCTCCCTCCCTCCCCCACTTCCTTTCTCCCTCCCTGTCCCTCCGTCCCTCCTTTCCTTTTCTCTCCCACTTCCTTTCTCCTTGCCTGCCTGCCTCCCTCCTTTACCACGTTGTCTGTCCCTAGAGTGGAGCGCAAAGGAGGTGCTTAGCGTGCGTGCTCTCCGCCGCCATAAATTATTCTATTATCATGATTTCTCGGTAGATTTGATCGATAGCGGGTTGATGTAAAACGAGTTGATGGAGGACGTTTTAGCCTTAGTCGCTGCAGGCAAGGAGCTTGTTATTCATTTTCTTTCGATGTGTGATCGCGTAGAAGTAAGAAGAAGAAAAGAAAAAGAAAATGCCTCATCCGCGAACACCCCTCCCGATCCATAGCACAGGTCAATAAACCTAATTTACATATTACCTTCCATTTGCCTATTTACCTTCCAACCCCACCACGACCTCGGTGGCGCTGGCTCGTGGCATCCATCATCAGCGTTGAGCAGCGGGTGTATATCACTACACACTGACAGGCGGAATGACAACGCGCCCCTCCAAACCTACACATTTTAGGAGCGGCGGCGATCTCCAAGGGGCCCCCGGAAAAGCCGTCGCTGGCAACTCGAGGCGGGAGCGAAGGCAGGTTAGAGGTGCAGATCAGTAGTGTAACCGACCACCGTCTAGTGGCAGACGCGTCGGTAGGAAAATCGTGGGAAGTGACCTAGCTCTCTTTCTCTAAGGGTGAAGGGAGGGTGGCTGGAGGGTAGGGTTGGAGGTTAAAGGGGTTAGGGGAGGTAGGGAAGGGAGGGGGGGCAGTATGAAGGAGCCGAGGCTTCTTGGCTTGGAAGGGGGCACGCCAAAGAGGTCAGAATGGTATAGGAAAGATGGGTTTGGGTGCTGGAGGAATGCATTGTTTGTGGGAGCGGGGGAAGGGACCGGCGTGGTACGGGGAGACGGACTGGGGAGGGAGACTGCATAATATTAGAAGACTTTATGCAGGGAGGGAAAACAATGTTAAGCCTCATTTAACCCTACTATCTATGAACTTAAGGTTACGTAGGTTATAATACTCTTAGTGGCTGGATTAGCTTCGCCACTTTGTAAGAGATTTTGTGCAGAACAGCAGAGAGGGTCGTCAGCCCGCGGAGGAGCCTTTTGTGGGGAAGCGGGTCATACGGCGAGGGCAGAACGAGGGGGTCGAGGTCATAGCATCTCCTTCGTATTTCCATCTTTTATCATCATTCGTACCATTCTTTGTCTCAAGTCGTATGAAGAGGGACACGGAGGTGGGACTACTCATAAGCATGACTGTGTTTCTTTGTTATGTGTCCACGCACATGTGTGTTTTCGTGAGTGTGTGTGTTTGTGTCTATGTGTTCGTTGGTACGTGAGATTGACCAGCCCGAGCCGTGGACATGGCAGCGGTCCGAGGAAGAGGTGAACGGTCAAGCGGTCAAGCACTGGAGCCTCTCTAGTCTCGGAGCAGTAAGGTCACGCTGAACTGTCACTATAGTGTTTCCTTTGGGTAAACATAGCGCCAGGTCGAAGGTCAGGTCACGCCCCCAACGCGGACCCGAGTGTGTCGTCGCAAACCACGAGACTTTTACCGTGAAACTACCCTCAGTTGGGTTGTTAATACGTCTCCTTATGGTCGTCAACCGGAACCATCGATTAATTAAGGAACGGAGAACCCGGCGATACAGTCACAAGTGCACACAAATACACACATTCTCAGACGAGTCACCCCTTCACCTCCGCGCGTCACCTTCACACACCTCCTCCTCCTCCTCCTCGTATCTCTCCCCCTCCCGTCCTTTTACTCCTCCTCCATCCTCCCACCAGCCCACCCCTCCTCCTCCTCCTCCTCCCCTCTCCTTCCACGCACACCACCCACTCTTCACCCGAGTTCCTCCCCCCACCACACTCCTTCCCGCGTCTCCCTCCCCCGCACCCTGTTGCCCTAGCCCCCCTCCCCTCCCCAGCCTCCTCTCGATCTCCCTTCCCCGTATCCCTCACCCCATCCTCTATCCGTCCGCCCCCACAGTCTCCCTCACCCCGTGTCATTCCCCCGTATCCTCCTCATTCTCATCCCATCGCTCCTTTTACATCTCCTCTTGTATCTCCCTTCGCCTCCACTGTCTTCTTTCTCGCTCCCTCCCCCTTACTCTTATTCCACCCTCGCCCCGTCTCCCTCCCCTCGCCTTCTCCTTTCCTCCTTCTCCTCTTCCTCTCTCCTTCCCTCTTCTTCCTCCACCTCTCCCAGGCCTCCTGTCTCCCAAGCTGCTCTCTCTCTCCCGTCACCCATCCTCCTCCCCCTTCCCTTAGTCCCCGTCTCCATTCTCC